AACAACAACGATTAACATTATTCAATTCTAGGGTGGAGGGGGTAGATTGATGGTGGAGGAAGGAATAACAAGTGGGTACGAGTAGGGGTGGAAATTGGTACGGTATCGGTATCACAATACCGAATTACACCCTAAAACCAATCCCAATCCCAATCTCTAAATGATTTCGGTATCCCAATCCCTAAATATTTTCGGTATCCCAATCGGTATTCCGGTATCCCAATCTGTATTATCGAATACGAAATTAGTTAAATTTACAATTAATAATTAAATATAAAATTAAATTTGATTGTTTAATTAACACCAAAGAGACTAAAAAAGGAGTTTGATTTTTACTAGAGTTGAGGATATTTGATTGTTTAATATTAGTTGCTTCCCATATCACTTGTCGATCGGGATTTGGAGATGAGAGAACTGAAGCTACATGGGCGGCATAATTTCTCTATTTCTTGACCTTCTTTTAGTGGTTGTCGCCTGCTTGCTCTTTGTCGAATCGATTAGCAATTATGAATTGAGAGAGACGAATTGGGAGAAGATACTGACCTGGATTCTTTTAGTGAGATGGGAGTAGTTGTTGCGTGTGGGCTGGCCGCTAGCTGCCTCGTATCAGTCGTATGAATTTTCAAAGTCCTAAAGAGTATTATTGGGCTTTGTATTATTGTATGGGCATTAAAAAATGGTAATGGGTTATGCATATTTCAGTTGCCAATTAAGGGCCAGTGAAAAATATGTGAGGATTGAGCATATATTAGTTTGGAGGTTAAAATACACCACTATTTATATTATTTTTCGGTATTTCGGTATTATATCGATCCCAATCCCATAAACCCCTAATACCAAATTACAGTTGAAATTCAATCCCAATCACATGAAATAATTCGGGTATTTGGTAATACTACCAAACTTCCATCCCTAGGTACGAGGGTCGTCGGAGACACATCGTTGACTTGGTCGCCTTCGTCTTTCTCATATGGGGAAAATGTGGGTGTTCGAAGAAGACGATAAGACAGAAGAAAAGGTGGGTGAGTCAAATGAGGGGTTTTGGATTTTTGCTCCGTTATTTTCTTAATTAATTATTATCCATGTGGACAAGTAGAGAAGAGAATTAAGTGTTGGCCACATAAGTCTCTCCGTTTGCCCAATCACACTTAATATTAACATCGTTAAAGAATTGGATGGAAGTGACTATAAGTGGTATTTCACCAAATTTGGCTATTATTGGCACAAACATGAAAGTTTTTGACTATACAAGTGTATTTTACCTATAAAAAAGCAACACACATAAAAAGGTAGGGATATAGCTCGAACAATCGCAACCAAACAATCTGAACAATTTCATCCAAAACTTAAAATTTAATTATCATTCATTTTGAGTGATAGTTATATAATACCAAGCAAATAATACATATATTATTTGTAAAAAAAAACAATACATTGTAAATAATTCATCCATTATAACTATTCTAACCAACCTATCACCAAAACCAAACCACCTTCATTCACCCCACATATCAAGGAGTTTTTTCCAATTCTAGCCCCATTAAAAAAAAATTACAAAACTAGTACCCAAATAAAAATATTTACAATTGTAGCACCTTTTCTAACGAAACGCACCCCTAAGGTGCGTTTTATTGATGAACCGCACCTCTCAGGTGCGTTTCATGTGTAAACCGCACCTTAGAGGTGCGTTCCGTGCCACGTCAGCACGCGAACCGCAGTGCCAAGGTGCGGTGTGCTTTCTCTGCGGGAACGGTCTTCAAGACCGTTGGATGGTAGAGCGATCGGACGGCGGACCGCGCGCCAGCAGAGCGATCGGACGGCGGACCGCGCGCCAGCAGAGCGATCCGCGCCATGGATCGAGGACCGCACCTGCAAGGAGCGGTCAGCGCCTCGTGACTCGCAAACCGCATCGGAAGGGAGCGGTTTCTGCGAGGGGAAAATTACAAGAACGCCCCTTGAGGGTGCGGTCTGATGGGTATAAATACCCCCCATTCCCTTCTCATTTCTTCACACCACAACACATTCTCCCTTCTCTCTCTAAACCCTCCCCTCCCAAAAGGCTAGGAAATAGAAGTCTGTTGGTTGCGGCTAAGTCCGATCTGCCATCAGAAAATATTTCTTAGGTTTTTTCCTCAAAACCCGCCGAGCCGAGCCGAAGCTCTGTCCGAATTGCGCCAAAAAAATGGCCGATTGGTGGCAAGGAGAGGGAGTTTATGTTGATGAATTTCAAGCGCTATGTACTCATTATTCTGGTTTAATTTTTGTTGTTGTTATAAGTTTTTTAATTAATCTATGTACTAACCTCGTTGTTATTTTCTTGTAGGTTGGGGAGGACGTCGATATATACAACCAAAGGTATTATCTCGAGCAAGGACCGTTGGATCCAACCGACTTGTACGACCAACCCAACCATCGGTCAAGGGATGTTTGGAACGCTCACCCGGTACATACAATTCTTCACCATTTGTCCTTCTTTTATTTTGTTAATGTGCCTAGTGTAATATAAAATAAATTTATGTTGATTTTTTAATCGTGTTGGTGGTTTTCAATAATTTAATCGAATACATAGCGCCACTTACTTCGACTCTTTATAAAGAGATGCACGTCTAAGGAAATGGGGTTTTAAGCGATTATCATATCCTCCCATTACCTGGGAAAATCGGGTATTAAGAGATCCTCGGATCCCCCCTTTTTCTGTCAAAAAGACTGCGTTTCTAAGAAGATGTATACCTCTTCTAAGAGTCTAACGAGTGTTGCTTTGTATTTGATTAAATTATTTAAAACAACCAATACGATTAAATTATTTACCAAACAACCAATACGATTTATTTTTTCAGTGCACAAAAAGAATTTTATTAATTTCAAACATTTGAATATGTATGTTTCTATTTAAATTATTATTCAAGAGGGTCGGAGTTGTCTGCACTGACGTTGTTCTCTCCTTCTTCATCGGAGGGGTCGCTGACTGGTGCTGCCATGGGAGCTTCCATCTGATCCAGCTCATGAAAGGCACCTTCATCAGCTCCATAATGGTAGTTGTGAAAACTACCGCTGCCTGATTGGAAGTTGTACTGGGGTTGGTTGCCGAGGTCCGGTTGAACTTCTTCTTCATATGACGGGAAAGATTGATGATGGCCTTCACCTTGCCCTCCATCTTGGTACTGAAAATAGGAATGAGGATCATGGTAACTTTGTTAGGGATGATCGCCATATAATTCACCTCCACCATGGATACCAGATGTTTGACCGTGTCCAGAATGACCTCCAACACCAACGGCTGGCTCGGTATAAACGAACATCTCGGCTTTGGCCAATTTGTTGGACCTCAAGAATTCGAGCACGGAATCTACTTCATCTTGAGTGGTTATGGTATATTCCTCATGCCACAATGACCCACTTTCTCTGTTTGGATATCGGTACACCATTCGATCTACTCTTCTCGTGCCATCCATGCAAGTAACGTTAGTGCATATTTGATGGAGGTCTTCAAGCTTCAGACTGGTACCGACCGTTATTTTCTGAAAATTGCCACCGATGTAGGTGGCCCCCTTTCTGGTCTCTTCTGTGTAACCATTCCACCGTAAGCCAAGCGTGAACTTACGGAATGCCATCTGCACACAAAAAAACCGTAGTTCAGTTAATATCATAAAAATCACAAATCAAAAATAACAATAAAAAGTCACACAAAATAAACTTACGAGTTAATGTTAATGGCAAAAACACTAAAGAAATATAGGAATACAACAGAAAAATGAAAAGAGAGAAGGAGAGGTGTGAAGAGTAGAGGTTTTCCGGCAGTCTTATATAGGGAAAAAAATGAGGAAACCGCACCTCTAAGGTGCGGTTTTAGTCTGCCATGCAGCCCTACGTCCATAATTCTGCATGGACTTGTCGGAAAATTATTGACACACAGACCGCACTTGGGGGGTGCGGGCTGTGTGGCTAAACCGCACCTTAGAGATGCGGTTTGGTTTTGGAGGAACAAACCGCATCTCTACGGTGCGGTTTGGCTAGGTCAATAATTTTCCTGGGCAAAAACCGCACCTCGGCCATGCGGTTTATGTAGGGCAGACATGAAACCGCATTGCCAAGATGCGTTTTCGGCCCAGGAAAATGGAACGCACCCTAGAGGTGCGGTTTATGTATAAAACGCACCTGAAGGGTGCGGTTTATATGTAAAACGCACCTCTAAGGTGCGGTCCATAAAAAAGGTGCTAGTTTTGTAAATATTTTCGGAAGGGTGCTAGTTTTGGAATTTTTTTTTTAAAATGTGCTATTTCTGGAAAAAAACTCACATCAACATAGCGGTCATTCAACGGTTGAAAATGTAATAAATCTGGCCCAATAACTGAAAATGCGCGGCAGCGATCCAACAGTGTCAGATACGCTGAATAGAGCCATTGATCGGCAGGTAACTGGGTTTTAAAATTTTCAAAATCTTTAGCTCAGCTAAGTAATGAAAGTAACTGAAACCCCACCCGTCACAGAGTGGGGGGGGGCTGGTTCTTTCATGGTGGCAAAAACCTGCTGCAGCGCGGGTCCATTCGTTTCAGCTTTTTGGGCAAAGTGAATTCCTACACCCTGAACCAAAACCAGCGGTAAAGAAAAAGAGAGGCAAACAAAATCAAAGATTAAACAAGCACGACAGGGAAAGCAAAATCCAGTTCACAAATACTGCTGCTCCCGGAATCCTGAGTGAGGCTGTTGTGTGAAGTTTCGGTCTTTTCCCTTCTGCTTCAGGAAACCCACATGGCTTCTCTTCCTCTGTGATGGAGGGGCTCGGCAATGTTCCCATCAATATGTGTAATGGGAAACTGGCTGCAACAAGAAGACTCCATTGTTGAGGGCGGGTTTGAGTAGGTAGCCTCGGTTTTTGAAGGTTTGGTGGAGCCATGGCTTCTGGGGCTTTTAGCGAAGATGGGTTAGGACAACAGAACATCAACAAATAGCTTGCACTTGCTGTGAGGAGTATCCAGTGGAGCTATGCGATTTTCTGGTCCATGTCAACTGAACATCATGGGTATTTTGTCTTCATCTTTATCTCCTCTCTTTCTTACCTCTTACCCGTTTGCTAAAATGCCCGACTGAAACTTCCTGTAAAAAATTTCATTTACCATTGCTTGAGATCTCTTATTGTTGAATCCTGAAGGGTGTTAGATTGGGGAGATGGGTACTACAATGGAGATATCAAGACAAGGAAAACTGTTCAAACGATGGAGATTGAAGCTGATGAATTGGGGTTACAGAGAAGTGAGCAACTTAGGGAGCTCTACGATTCTCTCTCGGATGGTGAGGCCAGTCTGCAATCCAGGAGACCCTCGGCAGCACTGTCGCCGGAAGATTTGACTGATACTGAGTGGTATTATCTGGTCTGCATGTCTTTCCTGTTCAACATTGGCCAAGGGTAATCATGTGACTCACCATTTCTGACGTGCATGTGTCCTTTAAAGTTTGGAACTTTCAACTTGATCTTGCAAACTGGTTTGTTGGGTTTCTTGTTTTTTCCCCACAGTTTGCCTGGGAGATCGTTGGCTAATCGCCAGCAGATTTGGCTCTGTAATGCTTATTGTGCTGATAGCAAAGTTTTCACCCGCTCTCTTCTAGCAAAGGTTGAGACTCATACCCATTTTCATAGAGGAATTTTGTTGATTAGATGAACTTTTAACTTTAAGCTATGAAAAAGAACTTAAGTTTTATGTTTTTTCCTGGTTTTCTCCACATGATTGGTGGATTTCTCATAATAAAACAACCTCAGAGTGCATCCATTCAGGTAAGAATACACTATCTTAATCGACGTCATTAATGACCTCTTTAATCATTAGATGACACTATCTTAATCGACATTCTTTCCCCATTTGAACTTGACAGACTGTTGTGTGCTTTCCCATCTTAAGAGGCGTCTTGGAGATTGGCTCAACTGAGAAAGTAAGGCCTTTTCAGTGAGCTACTTCGCTATTTCAAGCAATTCCTCTTCCAATTTGGATAATTTACTACAAATCTCCACCAGGTGTTGGAGGACTACAGCCTGATTCAGCACATCAGAAGCTTGTTCTTCGACAATCCAGATCCCTTAACTTCAGAGAAGTGGATTACAGGACATCACGATGAAGAACTCGATGAGATCCTAATGGAATCCCAGCTTGTTGTTCCAGGATTCCACGGTGCAGAATTCGAGATGGCAGCTGCTGCTACTTCTCCTTGCAATGACAGCTCAAATGATGAAGCTGCGGATGATTCATTCATCATCGAAGGGGTAGATGGTGGTGGTGGTGGTGGAGTAGCTGAAGCTTCACAAGTGGAAAGTTGGCTGTTGATGGATGATGATGATGATGATCTCAGTGCTCCTAGTATCAACCGTTCCTTGAACTCAAGCGAATCCATATCTCAAACCATTGCAGACCCACAGAACTTTGTCGCTTTCCCTCAAAGCGATGAAAAGGTCTACAACACTGATTTCTTGCAAGACTCTGAGGCCTGCAATCGTGTGAAAATGGCTGCACCGGGACTTCCAAGCAACGATTTGCATTATCAGAGTGTTGTCTCGTCAATACTCAAGACCTCTCACCCACTGATTCTTGGACCGCATCTCCGGAACTGTCGTCAGGAATCCAGCTTCCTCAGCTGGAAGAAGGTGGGATTCATGCAGCAGCAATCTCAGAATGTTAAGGTTGGGATCCAGCAGAAAATGTTGAAGAAGATTCTATTTGATTTCCCACAGAAGCACATCTATGGCTATACACCAGATAATGGGTTTATAGATGGAGATTTGATATCGGAAGCTGATGAAGTTAGCATGAATCAAATGTTATCGGAGAGGAAACAGAGAGAAGTACTTGATGAAAGGCTCATGATTTTAAAGTCAATGGTTCCTTCAGTCAACAAGGTTGTTTAGAACACTAAGAAAAACTCTTCCTTTCCCTAATAATTTGCCAATCTAAATAAATTCCTAGTTTGTTGCAGGTTGATAGGGTATCCATACTAGAGGAGACGATAAAGTACCTTCAAGAACTTGAAAGAAGAGTCGAGCAGCTGGAAACACAGCGACAGCAAATGGAGCCAGAGGTAATAAGCACAGAGAGGAAAATAAACCAAAGAACTTCATCAGAGAGAACATCTGATAATTATGGAAGCACCAAGAGAAATGGCAGTGCCAGTAGGACAGTTGGAAACAAGAGGAAAGCATCCGAGACCATTGAAATGAGGCCGAAGATCAAGGTCAATATTGCCACTAAAGGTGATAATGTGAATGTCAGCATGAACATGAATGGGCCTGTGATCAAGGTCCATTGTCCATGGAGAGAAGGGATACTAATTCGGATAATGGAAGAGTTAACCCGTCTTCATTTAGATTCTCACTCAGTTCGAACATCCACCTCTGATGGAATTCTCTCCGTAACCATTGAATCCGAGGTACGATAACCGTTTATATGCCTCAGGGAATTACATGAAAAAAGGCCACTCTACATAATAACATGTTCTGATGATCTCTGGGAAATAAATTACAGCATAAAGGAGTGACTGGTGGAGGAGGAACAGCGTCAGCAGGAGCGATCAAAAGGGCGCTTGAAAGAGTTGCCATGGGGAAGAAGGACCTCTTATGATGTTACTTGTTGAGTTGTTGTAGATGGTGATTAACTAGGTAGGTCAGTTTTAAGTTCTTAGTAAAACTCAAATTCTTTTGCCCCTGTTTTTGTTGTTCATCCTTATCCTCGGCTTCCCAGTTCAAGTCTAATGGAAATGCAGAGTATTATTCAACTTGTTGGGGATCAGTTTTCTTCTGCCAACGTCAGATTCTGCATGTGAAAAGAAAAGCTTACAAGATTCTCCGATTATTGGTCGACATGCTACAGAGGTGTCTGATACAAAGCCCACCAAACCTTTAACACCTGAGGTTGGCGTCACTCCCACTCAATTGTTGATGGAGGCTTTGATGTAATATCTTGAACAACTCGGTTCACTCCGCGTACACTGTTGCAGATTTTGCGGGAAACATCATCCAGGAACTTGTGTTCAAAGTAATACCTGGATTTACCACATTTTCACGAGCACATATCAGAGACGTATATGGCTAAGCAAGACAATCCTTGATAAGGTATCTAACAAGCAAACACGTCCTATTCTTCATTCTAGTGATTGTATGTGATGGCATAACATTCTAATTGCATGCTCAAATGAAGGAGTAACTAAGCAAGTACATTCAAGAGAAAAGAAACTTACCAATCGGCTGTCATTCCATCTTGACTTGTAACGGCTCTAAGGGCAACGACATGAGAATGTGTTCTTTGATCCCCTTGAACTCCAACAGTTCTCACAGGCAGGAAAACTGCAAAAGCTTGCCAAATGGTATCGTAAAGTCCAGCATCCTTGATGGACTGGATGAAAATCTCATCCACCTGAAGAAATAATCAAAGGAGAGAACCCATTATTTTAAAGCATTAATAGATAATCAAATCATCAAAAATTGTCAGCCTTCATGTTCATAATTAAAAAATATATGTAACAAACCTGGCGTAGGACATCCAAGGCATTGCCCTGAGTTACATCACCCAACACTCTTACTGCAAGACCAGGCCCAGGGAAAGGGTGACGCTTCAGGAATCCCACAGGAACATCTAAGATCCTTCCTAACTCGCGGACCTGTCGAATAAAAAGGATTTTAATGTTTCAAATCCATTCTAAACAAGACAAAACATGAAAACAGAATACTTGAATCTCAGAGCATACCTCATCTTTAAATAGAAGCTTAAGAGGCTCAATGAGCTTCAACTTCATGTCCTTCGGGAGTCCTCCAACATTATGATGACTCTTGATTGTGTGTGAGTGAGTTCTTCCTGAGCCAGGAGGTGGGCAAGATTCAATGACATCTGGATACAAAGTTCCTTGGACAAGGTAAGCAGGTTTCGTCCCTAGCTTTTGCTCCAAATCATGGGCAAAAATATCAAAGATGTTAATGAATTCCCTCCCAATTATCTTCCTTTTCATCTCGGGATCTGTCACGCCCTTCAAATGACTAAGAAACTGTTCCGAAGCATCGACACAAGTAACAGGGAGATGAAGATCCTTCTCAAATGTTTCCATCACTCGTTCTCTCTCCTTATACCTACAGAACCCGGAACAGATGACTTACAACAATTGATCAACAGAGTAACACCAGTAATCAATACTATAAGTAACCCCAGCAGCTCACCTCAATAGACCATTGTCAACAAAAATGCAATGAAGCCTATGACCGATTGCCTTATGAACCAGTGTTGCAGCAACTGTGGAATCAACACCACCAGATAAAGCACAAATAACATGATCTTCAGGACCTACTGTTCCTTTAATCGCCTTGATCTCTTCCTCCGAGACATCTTCTATGTTCCAACCAGCTGCCACTCCACAAATATCAAACAGGAAATGCCGTAATGTGTCCATGCCCTCCGGCGAATGAGACACCTAAAAATGTACAAAATATCCACATTTCCATAAAAAGAAGTCTGCACCTTTGTTCATCTATCCTTGCAAAAAAAGCAAAAGCTAGAGTCGAGAGTTTACCTCCGGGTGATACTGCAACCCGTAAAACCTCTTTTCCCGATTTTCAAGAGCTGCAACTCCCCCTTGCTGGCTCTTGGCCACCAATTCAAAGCCTTCCGGCAAGCGAGCAGCCTCGTCGCCATGGCTCATCCAAGCCACCTGCTTATCCCCAACCTTCTTATTCCCGAAAATACCCGAATTCCCCACCACTTCAATCTCCATCTTCCCATACTCCTGCTCCGTCCCAACCCTCACTTCCCCTCCCAGCTTCTGCACAATCAGCTGCAGCCCGTAGCAGATTCCCAGCACGAAAACGCGGTTTTCCAGCGCCCAGTCCACAAACCCATCAGGGAAGCTGGGCGAGTCGGCCGTGTGGACGGAGTGCGGGCCCCCGGACAGAATGACGACCTTGGGGTTCAGGGAAGTGATGGCGTCGAGGGTGGAGGTGCCGGAAATGCAGAGCGAGAAGGTGTTGAAAGCGCGAATCCGGCGAGTGATGAGGTGGGTATATTGCGAGCCATAGTCGAGGATTAGGACGAGGTCGGATTTCACGGCCTTTGGGTCCATTTTCCGGCTCCGGCGGAAGCTAATCTCTCCAGGAAGGTCTTTTGTTAGGGTTTTAGGGTGGCGGGAGTGGATGCGAAATTTGGGGAGGAAGAGAGGGTTTAAAGAGGGGAAGAGGGGAATTAGGGGTTTTGGTAGAAACAGAATTTTTTTGGGGGTTGGCGGGAAGTAAGTGGGCTTTTTGCTCTTCTTGGGCCTCCCAAGCTACTGTATTGAAATTCGGGAGTCCAATTCAGAAAATCTCCTTTTCCTTTCTTTCATGATTCTTTCCTATTTATGTACCAAAATAAAATGATTTTTCCGATTTGATTATCAAAAGAGAAAAGGTAATTCCAATTTATAAAACCAGCATCTTTGATCCTGGAGTAAGACGTCGACTTTTATATGATGATCATTATCTAGTGAGGAAATCTCTTCATTTGAGTAATAATTAAATGTTATAGTGCTGTGATAAAAAAAGATGTTATAGTGCTGAAATGATATTTTTGAATTTTATATAGATCTAGTTAAAGCAAATTGAATGGAAGAGGGAAAAAAAGAAAAGAAAAAGAAAAGCATGTTTAATTTTGACATGCTTCATGCTAGATACGCTAATTGGCAGGGTGCACCATGTGGCATGCTTCATCCTTGCATATGATATTATGGTATCATGCCCATTTGTACACCGTTATAAAAAATATTCCTAGTTTATATATGTCCAAAGTGTTGTACTCGTGTGAAGGAGGTCGCAAGTCCGAGTCCACTCTAGCCACCACAAAAATTTTCATAGGAATCCTTCATTTTTTAGTATCAAATTGGAATAATCAAGAGATAATCTATGAACAAACAAGGTAATTTGTGTATTTACAGTTCGATATCACAAATAAAACATGAAGGTTTCTATGATTATAAAAGAAACCATGTTCCAATTTTATTGGGTTTCTCCTCAAAGGAACAGAATCGGATCACTTGTAAATCGTCCCAATCCGATTACAAAGAATGGAAGCTTTTGATTGTATGTGTATCTAATTAACTATTTTTGCCTGACTTTACTAAAATATGCAAATCATCAAAGTTTCATCCATTAATATGTATCTTTCACTTGAATTAAAATTCTATATCGAGACTTTCTCGGCCAATTTCTTTGAACAATTTGCCATCTTCTTTGATTTCGGTGAAAAGAGAGAAACAACCACAATTTCGACTAAATAAAGTTGAAACGAGAGAATGTCGTTCAACATAGTATCGGAGTTCAATAAAAGAGGGGTATTTAATATCAAAGAAAAATAAAAAGTTTTCCGAACCCTCGTATATAGTGAATGAAAGATAGGACGCTATTCGGGTTCATTTATAATAATAATAAAAAAAACAAATTATGGGCCTTCCTTGTTATGTGTATCAACATAAATAGTAGCAAACACAGTAGCGGATATCCTCGCAATGGCCAAACGCTGTCTGTCCATATTTCTCAACGCAAGCAGCCGTACAAATTTTATCTATCACACAGTTGGCCTTCACCACAACACTTCCGTAACAAATCTTCATCTCATTGGCCGCCTCCAATCCTGCAAAATCACGCGCATATATATATATCTAAGTTGTCAAATAATTCCTAACCCATATATATTACCAATTTATAACAACAATCTAATTTACATTATTCCCAAATAATCTAAGATATAAGAAACTTGTAATTAACAACTATTTGTTCACCGGTACTATTGAACCATAATTATCAGAGATAACTCCCCAGTCCCACTTCATGTTTATAGATTAGGCATGTTCTTACCGCCGACGAGGAGAAAAGCCAACAGAAAGACGAGTGGTACCACCGACAGTGACGAGCTCTTCTTCACCATGCTTGCAAGATTTCTTCTACCACAAAGGAATTAAATTGAAGAAATTGATAGGGATTTGGTTCTTTAAGAGATGTTGTTTGATGAAAAAAATGAGACATTGTTGTCCATATATATGGAGAAATACTTTGGCCACTCTTGAATGATGAATCCTTGATGCCAAGCCTTTCCTCTTTTTCCTTTCTCTATACATGGGTTAATTTCAAATGTGAAGCTACAAGAATGGAAGAAAAATTTAAGACAACTGTTATAGATTATTATAGATACCCAAAAGTGAATGCACCGTTAAGGTTTTTAGGAGTAATAATAAATTTATTGTCAAGTGTTTCGCTTCATAAGATATTTATTCCATATAAATGAATAAACATGAACAATTAGCCACCTCTCAATCATCCAAATAAAACAAAAACTATTTTAGTAGGATTTTTTTTTTTTTGGAAAAGGAGAATGATTTCCCAATAAGGTTTTGTTTTACTCTTAATCAAATGATGAAAAATATATGTTAACAGACTGCCCCATATAATTTTGTATCTTTTCTCAAATATAGTGAAATAGACTCTCTCTTGTTCATGAATTAGGGAGCACACATTTTATTAATAAACCACATATATCAGTATATTATTAACCTTGTTAAAATGCCGATTTCCCGATCCATTGTGTCATAACTTTGACAGCTAATGGCCATTATGTCACCCGTACAAAGACCCACATACCTGAACAATTTCTCCCACTAACAATTATAAAGAGAGCAGATATACAAAAGACAAAGACAATGGACGGAACCCTCAATAATCTTGTATAACCAGAAGCACTTTCAAAGTATGTCACTTCCAAGAGGAAGAAAGAGATGACACATTTGAACAGATTCTCTATAGAAGGTGGCTCTAGGTCTAGGAATTTGAGCCATGTGTGTATGATAGTAGGAATTAATATACGAACTGTTATTTACCACTAGTTACTACCCTCTATACTAGGGTGGTAACTTGAGTGGTATGAAATTTTTTTTCTCGAAATATATTGAAAACGAATATCATTTTGTAGATCACAACGAAATATATTGAAATTTTTTTTCTCGAAATATATTTTTGAATTCCAAATTAGAACGTGATAATAATCAATTAAGAAAATTAGAAAAAATAAAAAAAACTGTTAATTTTAATCCCTTAGATCCGAGCCCTTTTGGCCCCACTCAAAATTAATGGTGTAGACCTGATTATGCAACGTATCCTAAACCATTTATATTCACCATAAACGTATAGTGAGTGTCATAGTTAGAATTTCATTTAAAGTGAGTCTGAATTAAAATAAATATAAGATATAAAAAATGAAATTTATTAATGTTTAAAGACAGGGTACGCTACAAAAATCAAGCTTACAAAACCTGCACCCTTGATACGATGGTGATGTAATCGTATAGGGGAGATATGATTCATATCAGGGTGGTATGACGCGGGGTTTATAGAGTTTTTTCGTTTGAGGGTGGAGAATTCGATACTAAACTAGTAATTAGTAAACTCAGAATAAGAAATTAGAGACACATGTTTATGTATGATCTAGAGTTATATAATATAGTATAATATGCAGTGCTAATTTGTGTCACAAAGCTCTCTATAGTTTATTGATAGACAAATAAAATCGTGATCATGAAATACGAAAACTTGTATTTTGAATTTTCCGCCCGATAATTGGCAATTCTCATTAAGCTCAACTGGACAAAGCCAGAATCGAAAAATACAATGAGGGTGTAAACACCACCAAAGAAATAAACCATCCAACACCACTAACAGTCAAATAAACCTAAGTATGAACTAATCCAAATAACGAAGCAAATTCAACTCTGCCTACACCACAGTTACTACAATCAGAGCGGAAGGAAGCAATCAACAACTCAGGAGCCAACTCTCTACCCCCAAACACCCTGGTGCATCTTTCCCTCCATATAGCAACAAGCAACCAACACCAGCAAAAACCAATCACTTGACTTTGGATGCCAGAGGATGAAACAAGATTAGTTGCAATAGCTAGCCAATCCTCCCAACAAAAACCACCTGGCATAGGAAAACCTCTCGGCACTGTCTCAGCCACTAGCTTAGTGTAAGAACAATCAAAGAATAAATGAGCTCTTGAATCAGTACCACATGAGCACAACACACAACCTGGATCAATAGTCTAACCCCAACTAATCAATTTCTCCCTAGTAATGATCATGTCCTTCATAATGAGCCCGGACAGAAATCGATTGCTAGGAATATTATGTTTCATCCACAACAACTTCCACCAAGGGAACATAAACTTTCACCAAGGGAATATTATGTTTCATCCACGACAATTGGATGCTTAGTCCTCAAAGAGGACCAGACATTTTTGATCTTGTATTTTGAATTGTGTACAAATATTATTATCTTTTATGTGCTATATAATATGGGAATTGATAAAGGTCGTCCTTAAAATTACTATTGATCGTCCTAAAAAATAACAAAGTTACACTTTTAACCTTTTGACATTTTTAGCAAACAAACATCACTTTAACTAAAAAAAATGAAAAACACTCAATTTCCCACACTCTCGAATTCATCGTTGACATTCTCGAGTCGTAATCGTTGAGAATACGTCCGAATCATGAGTAGCGACTCCGACGAGGTAAAAATTTCCAAAACCCCTCAACCGAAGCCAATTTTCGGTTGTACCATGGCTCAACCTAAGGCAATTTTCGGTTGTACCATGGACCAACCGAAAATTGGCTTCGGTTGAGCCATGGTGCAACCGAAGGTAATTTTCGGTTGGTCCATGGTACAACCGAAAATTGCCTTAGGTTGAGCCATGGTACAACCGAAAATTGGCTTCGGTTGAGGGTTTTTGGGTTTTTTTGGATTTGTTTGGTTTATATCAATAATTTTCTATTCTTTTACTACGATTTATGATTCGGTCCATAAGATAATTTGTTGAATTTTGGTTTATATATTTTTTTAGATTTATGGAAGGGGAGGAGTTGTTTGTTTTGTATTTGATTTTGAAATTCAAAATGGGCAATTTGGTAAATTACATATTAAGTTAGGACGATGGTTAGTAATTTTTAGGACGACCTTTAACCATTCAGTATAATATAGTGTTAACACCACTTGATCATCCTATTATTGATTGATGCCCTATACTCACTCCCTCACTCCTGACAGCCCCCAACTTTGGCAAGGCAACAAGTAAGCTCTTAGCGCTTCTTTGGAAAAGGCTACTCGCTCGCGGTAGACTTTCCGGACATGCTTACACTAGCGGGGCTCTAAAGCTATAAAGTGGGTCTAGGAACCCATCATAATAAAAGGTGGCTCCGCCACTGCATATGACACAACTTTTTTTACGTAATGTATAAAATTGTAAACAAAATATATCAAGTACATGGATATTTGAGGAGTGAGGGCATTGTCACAGACTAACAACACACAGGGTAGTTTTGGTAAAATAGTAAAATTTTGATTTATATTTATGAAGGGAATCAAATTTGCCATAAGTGATGACAAAACCAGAAATTTGAATGAGAGCCTAAAAATCTAGGTTTGAGGGATTTACATACATAAAATGTTTTAAGTAAAATGAGGATATTTAAGTAATATTAGATGTTTTAGGGCGGAGAAATTCAAATACTTAGGGCGTTAAATAGGAATTCAGTGTTGATTCTCCCTAGAGTTGGCTTCAAATTTCCCTCCTAAATTTTGGCTCCAATTATTTTGGTTTCCCGCAACTTATTTGATTGTTTTAATTTTATTTGAGGGACTCCATACCCGCAATGTTTTTTCTCATGTTAATTGTAACTAAGGCTAAAGTCATAAACAATCACACCCAAATATTCATACTAGCGTCCGCCATCATATGCTATAAGTCTACGTTTATATCACTGTACGTCGCTAAGTTTTACTACTTAACCACAAATTAATCAGAGTTTAGGATATCATAATATACCATAACATCTAATGAGTGAAACTTAGTCTCTAATTCTCAAGCTTGAATCATGAAATTCATTTAATCTAAAATAATAATAACTGATGGTTATGATTTATTGAAATATATTAAAGTACATATAATAAGTGCGAACGCATAAGTATGTTGTTTACTTGTTTATCACAAGTTAAATTAGTTCATATCAGGGGTGCTATGATATGTGTACTACAACTTGCATTGGAGATAGTTCGAATGACGTGATATGATTGAGATAAGATAAATCACGACACGTTCTCAAATCTACTATATACGATTAGTAATGTCCTATAATGTTAACATTGTAATAATCGAATTGAAAAGTAATTAAATTTATTATAAATATTGTAAAATAACTTGCATTTTAGATCGTTCGAGTAATATTGTATCCAAGATGAGATAACTCATGATAGGTTCTAAAATATAATTAATCAATTAGTTATTGGTTCACAAAAGACAATATTTTAGTTACTAAATGTTAAACTCTTAACCCCATAACGGTAAAGATTGTGACAATCACATTGGTAAATAATAGTATATGATATATAATGTAAAATAGTATGAATTTATGATATTCGAGGTTAGATAAGATACCGCATTATGCAGGCTATTTTACATTATGGGTTACATATTTGATGGTTAAAAATTTAACATTTAGTAACAATGACATCTTCCGTAGTAAACATTACTATAGCATTATAGGACATTACTAATTGGATAAATTTGAGAATATATAATGAGTTATCTTATCTCAATCACATCATTTAAACTATCTCAAATGCAGGTTATAGTACAATATTTAAATATGATGGTTTAAAAGTTTAAAATTTAGCGACTAATACATTGTCTATTGTAAACTTTATTAGCCTTATAGGGCATCACTAATTGGATATAGTAGAAATTAAACATAGCAAATTTAAAAGCAATTAAATTTCTCTCCTCTTATCTTTTGAAAATTGAAATACCAAATTTCCCTCTTCTTTCTTCCCCCTAAAAGTTGAAAACACAAAATTTTTCCTTATTTCTTTTTCCATAAATCGAAAGCAAATTAAATTGAATTTTCTTTTCTATTAAAATAATCAAATTTTCAAATACATTAATTTTCTATATTTACT